ACACGTTTGTGAACATTCTTGACTTGTTTTCTTTGACTGGGTATGTGCCTTGTGGCTCCGGCCCCTATGGAGATTTTTGGTATGCAGACTGCAGTGCTGGGAAATGTGGTCACCTCCATGATTTGCTTGGGCCTAATAAACAACAACAACATCTTAGTTATTCAAGAGGAAGGGAGGAATCCTGTTTTCAGGGCTCCGCTTAATACATTGCTTGATTGCTTAATTATAGATTTCAGAACATTCATTACCAAACAGTCCTGTTGCAAATTCCAGATGGATCTGTTTGGCAGGAGCCTGAATGCAAGTGATCACCAAGCAGGTGTGCCAGTACATTATTGAAACTACTTTTGTGTTCAGCAACCTTCGCCAACCAAATACCCACAAAATACGAGTTTTATTGCCCAGAGCCCAATTACCATCTTGGCTAAGGGAAGGGGGTCCATTACATCTGGAGAACACCAGTTTGAGAAAGCTGACTATGGGATTAAATTATAAATTATGCATCACCAGTCATTTACTAAAGAAGGTTGGGAGTGCAAGCAATCTCTATTTGTGAAAAAGAAATAAAAGTCAAGTTAGGATAGTGACATTTTGCCTATTGAAATGTTTTAATTTTTAATCAATGGAAACAGGGACGGTGTTTTCGTGGCAGTCTAAATCTTGCTTGCTTGGTTATTGGAACTGAACACGCTGCAGTCTTATTCATTCCATAAAACTCGTTAATCCAGATCTCAGATTTATTTAAGGCTCACTGGCCATGCTAACTCCAGAGCAGCTGCCACTTCTGGATAGCAGTTATCAGAAACCAAAAGCCAGTGTGCTCTAGTGCTGACATAAGTAATCTGTGTTTTATAAACCAGTTCTTACTAATCCAAAACTGCAGCTGTTCTGAGTTTACATGATTAAACCTTAAGTCAATATTAAATCTTGGTTAAAGAACAATATTCTAAGGGATTGGGAGAAGACAATGACATGCACACAGGCCCATTAAAGAAGCAGATTTGATAAATGTGTCAGAACTTGTTCGTGATGGAGCAAATCTATCAGTGAGTCATCATCTGTATGCTGTCGTTACAGGTAACTGTTTTTCCTAATAGATTCCGGATTAAAAAAGGAGAATAATTCCCTATGTGTCATAATTGCCACCAAGCTTAAGTAGCCCTTATCATAGCATTAAGGGAAAATGTAATAGTAAAGGGCAGTACCTTTACTACTGGTTCACAACGGGGCTGCGTGCATGCGCAAAAGCATTTTGATGATGTTGGGGTCAGTGGGCAGAGCCTCCCGCCGGTTTTACCACCGGTTCTATAGAGTCGGTGCGAACCGGGGGCAACCCACCACTGGTAAAGGGACTATTCATGCTCCCCCATGACTTGTCTTCATTATATAGGGCAATTCAGCTAAGATATTAAACAGAGACTTGGTAAACGGTTCACAGCAAGTATTTCTCAAAACAAGCTTTTGCTCTCTTGCAAACCTGGATCTAAAAGCAGTATAAAGGTAAAGATTCCCCTCGCACATATGTGCTAGTCATTCCCGACTCTAGGGAGCAGTGCTCATCTCCATTTCAAAGCCAAAGAGCCAGCGCTGTCCAAAGATGTCTCCATGGTCATGGGGCCAGCATGACTAAACACCAAAGGTGCACGGAACGCTGTTACCTTCCCACCAAAGATGGTCCCTATTTTTCTACTTGCATTTTTTATGTGCTTTCGAACTGTTAGGTTGGCAGAAACTGGGAAGTAACAGGAGCTCACCCTGTTACGCGGCACTAGGGATTCGAACCGCTGAACTGCCAACCTTTCGATCGACAAGCTCAGCGTCTTAGCCACTGAGCCACCACATCCAAAAGCGGCATAGTAAGCCTAATTTACATTTAATGGATGGTGTTGAAGATAGGGGGATAGCTTTTGGATTTGGAACAGTATTGGCATCTTTCTGTACATCCATCTCCTTCACTACACTTAATGCTAGCCTTGAAAAAAAAAATGCTGCAAGAGTGACTAAATAGCTGGTTGAGTTGATTCAAGACTAGAAAAATGCCCAAGAGACCTCCTTTTCAAGAACTTTTCCAGTCAGAATTGGAGTACACTGAGATTCTCAAGCAGACAGACTCATCTTTATAGATGGTTTCAAATCCTAAGATCATCTGTATTACAGGAGCCAAACTTCTGGCAATGAAGGTATACTCATTTCTTGAGTTGGTAGAACTCATACACCATTATGGGCCACTGAGTAGATAAAATCATTTGTCTGGTCCTTTTTAGGATTCTGCTATAGATATCAAAAACAGCAGAACAATATGATGAAATGAACAACAAATAGAAGGAACAAGCAGATTTCAGAAGCTGTTAAATAGCAACAACTAAACAACCATGCTTGTGAACTAGAGGAAATGCAACCCCCCCCACCCCCGAATATAAAGAGGTTTATCTGAGAGGCAAAACATTAAGTAGTGCAACTTTCCCCTCACGCAGATATATTGATACAGCAAAATAAAGATGCACACACTCTTGCCAGGAAATCCAAGTCATAGTGATTTCTTAACTTATGTGGACAACAGGAATATTCATGGGCAGGTTTGGATCCAAAAAAGTCAAAATGGGAGCTACGACTATGGAACTGAAGTCCCACCCACACCCCTTTACAGCAAACAACTTGGTTGTTTTTTTTTTTGAACCACCCCTACTGATGCCCCCGATAGACAAATATTTGAAATACAACAAAAGAAAATGATTTTTTAAAAATTTAGCTTGCAGTATTTGGCACAGGACTTGCAAGTACTTGTTCCCCTCAATTTTGGGGGCAAAGGAGTGAAGAAAAAAGTAATTGAGAGCTACAGACAGAAGGAAAGCAGAAAATATTATGTTTTCTTTTTGCAAGCTATTTTTTTTAAAAAAAAAACCTTTATGTTAAAAAAATTTGGACATGGTGGAACCATCTTGGCGATATCTCCCCCATATAAAGTGTAACACAAATCTCTTATGTATTCAATATACATTACTACTTACTAATTATATACACATACTTGACCTCTTATACACGCTTACAATTACATGATATATTACATATATTGCCTCTTGTTTCAATCTACGCATCCTTGTTCTTATCCATTCCGACTTCCATTCCTTAAGTCTAACCATTGATAAAATTTATTCCAAATCTCATAGTACTCTGTCTCTCCTTTATTTTTCAGTTCTAGCGTCAGTCTATCACATTCTGCACAGTCAAGTCTTTTCTTTGTTATTTCCCTTTCTTTAGGTATGTTTCCACTCTTCCCTTGTTGGGCATAAATTATTCTTGCAGCTGTTATGATATGCAGTATTAAATATGTTAACCATTTACTTAGCTCTTCTTTAATAATTCCTAATAGGAATAATTCTGGTTTGAGTTCCAATCTCTGTTTGGTCATTTCTTCCAACCACATTCGAATCCTTTGCCAGTATTCTTTTGCTTTTCTACATGTCCACCACATGTGGTAGTAGGTCCTGGTATTTGGTCACATTTCCAGCATTTAGGTGATAAATTTTTGTACATTTTGGCTAGCCTAGCTGGTGGTAGGTGCCACCTATAAAACATTTTATATAAATTCTGTTTGCACGATGTGGCCAGAGTTAATTTCCTGTTCTTTTCCCACAATTTTTCCCACTTTTCCAATTCGATATTGTATCCAAAGTTCTTTGCCCATACCACCATTGTCTCTTTAACACACTCTTCCTCCATTTTGTATTCTAGTAAAAATTTATACATTGCTTTGATCATTTTCTCCTCTGTCCCCAATAAAAGTTTATCTAATGCAAGCTATTTTTTTAATAACTTCCTGGTTAGTTTTGCTTTTTGAACAATCCCAGTATATATTTTTGTCTCATAAATGGGAAACATAGTTCAAAGAATACAAATTTGGGAGTGGGGGGAAACCTAGTTACCAACAAATAAAATAAAATCTAAGATAAGATAGATACTTTACTTAATGTTTTGGTATTTAACTGTTATTTAAAATGCATATAATGTGTTCCTTAAATTTACTGAATTGTAATTAAATTTGTAATTGAATTTCATGTAAACTAGTCTTACTTAAATAGTTTTCTTGGCATTCACTAAATAATTGGCCATTTCTCACCTCTAGTATTTCTTAGTGTTGCTTCTTTTTATCTGCAGGAAAAAAATGTCTACAGTTGATAGCATGAGAAAGTGCCACTCCGAGAATTCCTAGGCTAGGGTATGACAAGAATGCAAGATGCCTCTCTTAATCTATTAGGCTGACTTGGTTAGTTTGGTATTTAGAAACCTTGCTGGAAACTAAATGAAATGGGATTTAAATTAAACTAAACTAAGTTAATGAATTTTACCTACTAATTTTCTCTTTCCTAAAAAGGATGAAGGCACCACAGTACAAGGATTAAAACATAAGTAAATAGAATCTGATCTTGGTCAAGTTATAGTTGATAGTTATAAATGTACGCTAACATAACAAGACAATTATACTTCCCATTAAACTATGGAAATAATTGAAAATGAACTGTGAGGGCTTGGGCATCAAGTAATCATTATACCTATAACTATATCTGTCTGTCTGTCTATCTTTGGTCTATCTTGGTCCATTCAAAGCCCAGGTTTATGCAGAATCACAGTGTTTCATTCATTGAAACACTTTTTTTCTTTTTTTGGGGTACGATCTCTCTTTCATTCAGACCCTTTCATTATTTCTTCTGAAGCAATTCTACAAAGAAATATATCCAGTTCCCTCTTTACAGAAAAAAAAAAATAGACCTAGTGCTCAATAAATAGAAGAGTTGTCCCCTGCTTTCCAATTTCTGCTTTCACCACCCATTCAAGGAGGGCAGCCCTTCCATTTTCATCATGTCCCTAACTCGCCTTTGCACTGCTCCAGGGTACCACCCAGGACTCTGGTTTTGCTAACGGCTTGTCTCTGCCACTTTCCAGGAGTTGCACAAGCCTGGTATTGAATTGCTGGGCCATTCAGGGTCTTAAGACACAAACCAAGCCTCCTGTCAACAGATGTTCTTCTTTTCCCTGCTTTCCAAGGCCAAGATCTAACTTTGTCTTTCGCTTCTGAGCAACTTTGGAAATCCTGCCACTATGGTTAGATAATATCCAGCCTTTCCTCCACCGTACGGGAAATCTGCCTTCACAGTAATTTACTTAATGCTCCCCCCACTCCATTCCATTCTACTCCAGTCTATCAAGCAGGCCAGTCCTGTGGCTAGCCTGTTGTTCTGATCCCAGGGAAACCAGCTGTCTGGATAGCAGACAGCCCTGACGGTTGTCCCTTCTGTCAACATCCTTGTTGGCATCCTGGGAAAATGCCTTGGTGCCAGGCAGGCCCACCTCCCTGGCGATGAAGAGATTAAGGGTTGTTGCTTTCCTTCTTAAAGCGCCCGGCCCAATCTCCTTCGCTTCATTCTGCGGCAGAGGGAGGCATCTGCAGAGCCTTGGCTTACCCACCTTCAGCGGAGATGGAGTGGGCTCCCAAGCTGGTAGGTGCTTGGCCCTCTTGGAGCCTCTTTTATTTACTTTCTGCTAATTAATGACCTGTCAGGCTTGTTTGCTTTGGGAAGGATAAACTGTGTCTGGATGAGCAATTGCTTTTAGAGCCTGGCAAAGTGGGGGAGACAAAATCCAGCCACCCAGCTAGAGACAAAAATCAGAGAATGAAGCTCCCCTGTGGTGGGGGGTGGGGGGGGGGACACAGGGACAAAAAATGAAACAACTGCTGGCACACTGGAACGGCTGCCTTAAGTGCCACATGTGTCCCATATCTGTCCCAGCAACCCAAACAGATGCATGTAGAGAAGCAGTTGGCCAGGCTTCCTGGCATCACACTGTGGCTTTTCTTTTATTAGCACTGTTGTTTCGCCATAACAAAGGCAAGAAAGGAAGGCAAGGGCTGGTGTGGAATGGGTTGGAGAGATGAGGGGGACAGTGGGCTTATCTCAGAGGCCTCCAGATGTGTTAGATCAGCAATTCTCATTCTCCTTGCTGGGAAATTCTCTAACTCCAGTCACATCTGGAGACTGATATGTTAGCAATGTGCTTGAAATGATAAAAATCCAAATTCTTTTCTCCGAGTCTCAAACAAATCCGTTCCACTTGAATTTTGGAACAAGAATGCTTAAAAAAAAAAACCTGAGCATAGAAACGACAAAAAGCATAATTATTCTGATAAAAGGTTGCTTCAATGGCTTACTGTGTCATTTTTTCTTTTTCCTAATACACATCTCTGGGGATTGTGTGATAGATAGCATTCAGTGTGACCTTCTTTTGTAGCCACAGGAATGGGGAGGGGGAGGGGAAACAACAAGGAATAGGTCTTATCTCATTCCTATTGCATCCTGTAGAGGAGCCTTGAAATAAAATATTTGAACTTGGAAAACATGGGAATGTTCCAAATCAATCAAGTAGGAAATCTCTGGATGAGATATATAAATTATTGTCAGGCATCTCATGGAAGAATTGTTGTTTTCCACTCTTTTCATGCATGCAAGCAAGCAAGCAAGCAAGCAAGCAGATTTTTGAGCAGATTTTTTGAACCCTGGACGGGATGGTTAAGCAGCCATCCCTCAGAGATAGTCTTTGACTATCCAGCTGCCACTCAGTCTTGAGACTCATTGAAAAATCCTGAGTGAATCACCAACTTTTAGGTTACTATCAAAAGTTTATTGGGTAGATGCTCCAGATCGATCAGTAAGAAATAAAAAAAAATATTAATCAGTTTTTTAATTAAATGTTCAACAATATTTTGTTATGTTTTGAACATCAGATCTTCTTTGTTTGCTACTGTACCTTATTTTGTGTTGGTTTGCGTGTTGTTCTTTGATCTTTGCTAGGGTTTCTGTTTCATTTTAAAACCATCATACAATGCTGTATTTATAGAACCTGCATTCATGCAAATGAATGAATAAAGTTTGCCTGTTTGCTTCTCCAGTTGCTTTTCTGTGCTCTCTGCCTCTCCTTGGCCCTGGATGCTAACCCTGCATCGAAAGAGCAAAGCAGAGGAACAAAAGGAAGAAGGAGAGGCTCAGCCAAAGTCAGGGAAGAACATCTGCGGGCACAGGAATCCTCGCCTGACCCTGTGCTGAGGGTAAATCTGGGGGCCCTCACCGACTACACCTTTGTGGAGGATTATGAGCGGAGCATTCAGGAGATGGTTAACCAGCTGCAAAATAGCTCTGAGCTGCTGAACAGCAAATGCCAGGTCAATCTGAGACTCTGGATGTCGAACAAGAGGAGTTTGTCTCCATGGGCCTATAGGTGAGGCGGAACAAAGTTTGGTAATTGAGGATCTCTCTCTCTCTCTCCCTCCCTTCCTTTCTCTTACATTTTGTGGCAAAAAGCACAATGAAAATTAACAGGATCAAGTAAAACAGGACTGGAGCAGGGAGGACTCTGTGTGTGTGTGTGTGTGTGAGAGAGAGAGAGAGAGAGAAAGAGAGAGAGGGGGGGAGGGAGGGAGGGAGAGAGATGTTTGGAGAAATCCTTGCATTTTTCTTGCCAAAATTTCAGAAGTGGTTTGTTATTGCCTCCTTCCTAAGGCTGAGAGAATTAGTCTCCTGGTTTCTAGTCTGATTCCTTAACTATTACATCAAATTGTCTCTTCAGGAGAGAATTTTGGAAATAAATTTACATTTACAGTCTCCCTGGCTGCTTTAGATTACACATTACCGTAGTTTGTCAGGAAGCTAAAGGGGATTTGGGTACAGTGGATCCATCAACACCAGTAAAAATATTCACTTTTTCTAGTGTAAGAGGTCCAACATCAGAATTTGAGTAGAAATTGGGACTTTACCCTCTCACTCAACAAAAGGGGAAATATGAGAAATCCTACTGCCTCTGGGGATTAGAGGAATGGAGTTTAACTCTGTTTAGTATTGCTCAGACTGCTAAGGATCATCTGAACAGCAAGGATATAGTTCATTCTGTATATTAACTAGTTTGGATTAGAATAGCATAAGTATATGATCCAGTCACTGCATGTTCTTATTTAGAATCTTGCACTGGGAACAGCTTCGGTGCTATTTTCCTAAATAACTTCTCTAAGTAAAAATATTTTGATTGCTATTAAGAGATTGACATTGAAATAGGAAAACTGAAATTTATGAACTTTGATCTAAAACTGAATTTTACTATAATGTAGCCACATGTAACTCCAGACTTCAGTGATCGGTTTAATGCTTCAGGTGTATTAGCCAACTCAACTTACCTGGAATGGAGTAGAATAGAACAGAACCTAAAAGAGAACTAGTAAAAGCCTGGTCCTTTGGGGAGGTTGTAGTTTGTGATTCACAGCCTGGCAACATCACTGGTTTAATTATTGTACATTGGGACCCTTGAATTGTCCAGAGCAAAAGTGACAGGAAGGAAGCTACCTTGACATCATCAAAAGCTGAATCCTACATCCAACCAGCATGCACTGTTGATAATAAAAGAGAGCTTACAGGGAATTTTCATTTAATGACTACTTATTCAGTGACTATTTGAAGTTACAGTGGCACCGAAGAAGGATATTTATGACTGGTCCACAGTTGTCATAGCACTCCCGTGACTAAGGTGCTTAGCAAATGACTTGCAGTTACAACAGCAATAGCATCCCAAAGTCATGATAGCCATTTGTGATCTTCATTGTTGTCTTCCAACAAAATCAATGGGGAAGCTGGCAGGGTCACAGTGACGACATGACAGTATGCTTAACAACCCCATGGGATTTGTTTAAAGAGCACAACCGGAACTGCTATAACTGCCATTGTAAGTCAACGTAGCCCCTTGATGCTGCATATTACAATTGCGTTACTTAGCAATTAGTCCCAATTACATTATCTCTGTTCTTGTAATGAACTTAAAAAGGAATGGTCAAACTGAATCTTTTATCTAGCAGAGCCTATATGCAGCTGTGATTCTGCATCTCCCTCATAAGCAAACCTGAATCAGTTTAATGATTCAACACTGCCCAATATTCAGATCAAGAAGATATTCAGGGTTGTCCGAGTTTGTAGCGCTATATCCTCCACTCGTGGTATTTTTAACGGTCTGTGAGTTCACTGTATTTCTGAACATTGAACAAGTGATTTCATTCATCCACTAAGAACTGGAGATCCCAAATTCTAACAGGTCCAGAAGTAAAAGAATTGAATTCATGTATACTTTGCTTCATGGGAAGCAAAGGAATGCAGTCTATGTCCCATCATTTCCAATGGTGCATGGAATCACTGTTGCTTCACTGGCATTTAGCTTTGCTCAGTGATGATACATCACTGCTTAGTAGTATCAGAAGTACCAATTTGTGATCTGTAATTATCAGCAACAGCAGCAACAGCCACAAAATGTGGCATCTAAGCTATAAGGGCTTCTGGGCAGCTATTTCTAAGCCCAGCTCTGGTTGTAACAAAGTGTCACAGCAGAAGAGACTTCCTGGAACTGGCCATGGAGATACAATTCTCTGTTTACTTCTGCAGCTTAGTTAAATAATCGTAATAGAATTGCATCATTTTCTGGAGCAAATCTCCAGAATAGATTGTTTAAAAAGAAGGCATTCATCTAAGTTAGTTAGTCTTTCCCAATCTGAGAATCATAACTCCAAGAATTCTTAGCTGACAAAGCCATTAATTGGGAATGCTGGAAATCTTCATCTCAACATTTCTAGAAGGTACCAGATTGGGAAAGGTTGCTTGTGCTCTCACAAGTGGAAGAAATTGCCTATTGCAACCATTTTCTATGTGGCGGATGTTTGCCCTACTGTCCCTCTTGTCGAACCATGATTCTTCCCATGAACAAACAGGTTACAGGCAGATATTCTTCCCATCTGGAAAATAGAATTTTCTAACGAGAGAAAGAATTCCGTGCCATTTCCTTACAAAAGCTTTGGGGAGTGCTACAACAGGCAACTGTCGTTTGTCACTGTTTATTCTGGGATATCGTCCAGTGATGCAATATCATCCTCGTCTCAGCCATCATCTGTCTTTAAAAGGGAAACCGTGATTTACAGTGTTTTTCCGGTGAGACTGATCTATTAAGGCAACCTGGTCAACCCAATTACGGGATGGAGCATAGTGCTTCTGCTTTTGCCTTTCAGCTCCAATCCCGGAGCCTTCGCAGGCAGTTACTTTCACGACAAACTATTTTTGTGTTGAATTTATATTAACATAAATTCAACACACACAAAAAATGTGATTTACAGTGTATACAGGCAGGCATGTTATATAAGATGGCACCTTCTCAGTCAAACGTATTTTCCGGCATTGTGTGATGCCCAGAAAAAGCAGGAGCTCCTTTAAAGAGCCTGGAAGTGCAATATAGATGTCAAGAACCACTTTTTCATCTCCATATTAGACTGCTGCCCAGTCCTACCAGCCATCAAGAAAAATATGCATGTTTTAATGTCAACCTGTTTTCCTTTAGGATAAACCATGATGCATCCCGGGTTCCAGTTGACATCCCAGAGGCACATTGTCTGTGCGCAGGGTGCATCAATCCCTTCACCATGCAGGAAGACCGCACCATGGTCAGCATTCCTATCTATAGCAAAATCCCAGTGCGACGGATGCTGTGTGAGCCAAGTAAGCCTCACAGGAAGAAGAAAAAGTGCCACAAAGAATACAAGATGGTTATGGAGACCATTGCTGTGGGCTGTACTTGCATCTTCTGAGGACCCAGAAGGAAGGGACTTCCTGCTCTTATGGATGAAGTACTATTTTTGCTCTTCTAAACCGCTCTGTTCTTTTGCCAAATGACGAAACACCAATGTACTTTTAGATATTGAAGTCACTGCAGTGGCGCAGTGGTTAGAGTGCAGTACTGCAGGCTACTTCTGCTGACTCCTGGCTGCCTGCAATTTGGCAGTTCAAATCTCACCAGGCTCAAGGTTGACTCAGCCTTCCATCCTTCTGAGGTGGGTAAAATGAGGACACAGATTGTTGGGGGCAATAGGCTGACTCTGTAAAAGGCTTAGAGAGGGCTGTAAAGCACTTTGAAGTGGTATATAAGTTTAAGTGCTATTGCTCAGCTCACATCTCTGCATTACCTTCAAGAAGGCTGGCAATATATATCTAGCAGGCAAATTACTCATTAATGCTTTAGGTCCAGTTTAAACAGTTCAAGCTACTTTGCTATGATGCTATAGCCACAGTTCCCACTTCCTTTTTTTTTCCTTATCTGGCATCCTTGTTTGCTTAGGAATTTAGAGAAAAAACAGATTATTGGTTAAAATGTGTATCTATTTTCAGGCCTTCAGACTGGTGGCAATTTAGCTTATAAAGGTGAGTTTGGACCGAACCTTTACAGATGAATCACTATATAGATCAGTATGTCATTGTCTGTATGTGTGTTCAAGTTAGTCTTTAACTTTTGGCAAATATCTGGACAATTCCATAGAGTTTTTCTCTGCAAGATTTTCATAAATGGGTTTGCCATTACATTATTCCTAGAGCTGAGAGAGTGACTGGCCCAAGTTGGCTTCATATATTCAAAAAATACCTTTCAGAGCATCCTTTTTAGACAGTATTGGGACACTGAGTATAGAACACTTTGGCATAACTAACTAGCTGGGTTCACACTTTGTAGAGTTCATATGTCTGATTTCCAAACCATACTTGATTGGGTTCACACAAAACATAAGCCCAACCCCACTATGGGTAGCACAATAGAACCTACTCCTCAACAGTTTAAAGGTTAGAGAGTGCTCCATTGCCTCTCAAGTCATAGCAGAGAACAAGTCTAAGTGTTGGCCAATGGAGGAAAGAGTTGAGCAATGGAGAGGCTCTTTAAATCAAGATTGTTTGGCAGGCTACTATTCACCTTATGGAATGCTATCAAGAAAGCCTAATCTAAATACCAGCAGCCCCTGTGCTCAACATTCTGATAATATGGCTTGCCTGTCAGCAGGAAGCTAGAGGGACATTAAGGGTGGTATTTGTACCAAGAATTAGACTGAGAATGCAGCAAGAAAGCCCAAGAAATCTTTCCTGCCAATCACTATGCACACAAATTTGTGATGGACCAAAGTATCTGTAATAACCTCTTTTAATACCCTATCCTTCACAATGGGAGGGGAATCACAACTCAGGGGCTGAGCAGGCAGTCTTTTGGCAGAAGGGCCCAGGTTCAATCCCTGCATTGGGGGTTCTCCAATGGCAGGATTGGAAAACATCCTGACATGGGATAAGCAGCTGAAGGACTGTTAAAATACAGAGAAAGCATCAGTGCTGCCTGTCCTATAGAAAGGAAGCTTGCCATTATTCAACATGGTTTGGTCCATGTTGGAAGAGGAGCCCGAGTCCAATCCTTGGGTTCTGTATGTAATCTCTAAGAAAGATTCCCATTTGAATCCTAGTTGAATTGTTTCCCAGAAACAATTTTTCATGGATGGAATGCAGTGCCATTATGGCTATGAAGCAACAGAGCAAAATAAAGGGCAGTTACTCAATCGGATGCCAAGAAGTACTGATATAACTGTAAGCAGCTGGCTTTTGTACCTGCCAAGCCCCTGCTGCACCTTTCTTTTTAATTATTTTTGTTAAGCGAAAAATGTGGGCGTACTTCCAAGTTCATCTGCCGCTATCTTATGTGGGGCCCAGTTTGCATTAATCGCAAACATCTCCTGAGGTCTTTCTCAACATTACATATGATCGTTGCAGTCTAGTGCTTTGTTTAGAAGTCCGTCCATCTACTCAGATACAGGAGAAGTGTTAAGTTGATCTAGTAAAGTTGAGATCAACTGAATAACAGGGAACAGTTTCTCAGTTCACCCTGACCAAGGAATATTTTGAGTCTAGCCACATTGACTGTGGCAGCCATTTCCTAAAAATACTCACAATATGCCAACATTCCACATGTGCCAACCAGCTGCAAACAGTTTGCTACTCTTGATCTAAGATTTTGTCTATGTGCCAGAACGTCACAGCTTCAAAAGAAACAACTTGATAACTTTATTTTCATTTTCTCCGTTCTTCCCAGCCAGCTAAAAGATATGACTCAAGGCACAGTGAAATATCTCATTAGAGGCTAGTTGGGCCTACTCCTATTTAGCTGCTAGATCATAAAGTGCGTTGCTCGCCTGATTCTGCAAATATGTCATTGATTTAACAAAGTTCATTAAAGAAAACCTTATCAATATCCATGCTGTACACAGGGTAACAATTGAAATTAAGCATTTTCTTCCATTTCTAGAAAGATAGGGAACCTCACTGTTTTATTGCATCTGGAATTAGCAAAAACAAGTTACCCCTTTACCCTACACACAGTGGTGGGATTCAGCCAGTTCGCACCACTTCGGGAGAACCGGTTGTTAACTTTCTAAGCAGTTTGGCAAACTGGTTGGAAGAAATCATTAGGGCAGAGAACCGGTTGTTAAATTACTTGAATTCCACCACTGCCTACACAGCTGTTGTATGGGAGCCCAGCTTCATTAGCAGCAGAAAGCAAATATTCAAGTCCCCAATTCACACACTTTTTTTCAAGATTTAATGGATCAGCCTGACCAAATGGCTAGGGCAGAGGTCTTCAAACCTGGCAGCTTTAAGACTTGTGGACTTCAATTCCTAGAATTCTTCAGCCAGCTGCTGGCTGGAGAATTCTGGGAGTTGAAGTCCACAAGTCTTAAAGCTGCCAGGTTTGAGGACCTCTGGCCTAGGGCAGAGGTGGGCAATTGTGGCTCTTTTACAACCGGTGGACTTCAACTCCCAGACACCCAAAGCTTGGCTGTCTCAGGAATTCTGGGAGTTGAAGTCCACCGGTTGTAAAAGAGCCACAATTGCCCATCCCTGCCCTAGGGTATTGTGGAATCTACTCAGGAAAATTCCTGAATGTTAGTTCAGTGGTTTTTCCTGATTTAGGAATCAAGGAAATCTTTTTTTTTTTTAACCAAATGCTGGAGGACAGCTTGCTTAATCTATTTCCAGGAAAAAAGGCCCATGGGATGGCTGGCAGATCAGCAATTAATTGTGCACATATGTTTATCAGGATTGTGGATAAAAAGTTACATGTTTGATTAAGCTGTTTAGCTTTTCTCACAGTAAACATTCTAACACAAGGTCCTTTGCTTCACCACCATGGGGCTTTGTAATAACCGTAAGGGAACACAGTGCTTGGGATGCCAGGAAAACCAAGAAATCATAAAAGGTCTTACGATCCTAAAAGTGTCATTTCCTTTAGCTTAGGGGATGAAGTACAAGAAGAAGGTCCATTCCAGTATAAATTATTTGGGAAGGCTGCAGAGGAAGACACAAGAAGGAAGTATGAATCCAAAGTTGTAGCTTGCTGGGTGATATACACAATTGGGCTGTAGGAATAGGATTCAGCAGGTAAAGTAAAAGTCAAATGGAATTTGACACTATTCAGTTTCTTCCATGATTTCTGAAGAATCCTGAACAACTAGATAGAGCCATTAATTCACAGACTCTCTGAAAGAGCGATACTACGCTAAAGAGATTGCCATGACACAGATAACAGATGAACGTATAAATACACAGATTTGCCACTGCTCTGCTTTACTTCTGTTAAATTTGCAGTACAATTTATTTCTTAACTTAGAGGAGTTGGGGATGTGTGGGACTGCAAATCTCAGCATCTCTTACTATACTGATTGGGAATTCCGAATGCTGCAATCCAATATAACTGGAACACAGCAAGTCAAGGAATGGCACTTAGTAGCCTCAAATATCCCCCTCACTCTGCATGCAATAAAGTCTTGTCTCGCAGTGCTTGCTAAGTTCACAGCTCAGTCTTCACTTTGTGCATTAAGTCTTTCTGGTCTATTTTCTCTACATCATGGTTCCACCGATTGTAGGCTAAGAGAGCCACATTTTTGGCTGCCACGGCAGACATTTCCATGGAGCTGGCTGCCCACTCCATGGTGTTGAGGTAGAAGAGGCTGTCATGCAGGATAATAGGTGGGAGATTCTTGACTGATCCGTAATCAGGACAGACTTGCCATTCTGTCACCTGAACAGAATAATAAGAACGGAACAGCATCTTCAACTCTTGCTTCTCCAAAGGATGTTGAGAGTGGACACGCCACACAGCAGCTTCCTGGGGCTGCTTCCGCTTGAAGGTATTAGATATGTTGATGGGGCAAATATTATCCATGGAGTTGAAGAAGAGGCCAGGAGCTTCTGTGGTGAGGACACTGGCAAAAGGAAAAAGCTTGGGATCTGGGAAGCCAAAGTATGAGGAGTTGAGGTAGCCGTGAACAATGGAGGTGACTGTGGTGTGAAAAGTTCCAGGAAACTCAGCAATAGGAGGGTCAAAATTCTGAAAGGTAATATTGTTCTTGCTGTCATGTAGTTGAGTGGCAATGACCACTATGTCATAAAAGTTGGAACCTGGACCGTCTTCATTTTCATAGTGCACTTGGTAGAGGGGTTTTCCTTCTGGATAAAAATGCAAAGGGAACAAACAGGGGGAAAAACAGTAACTCAGACAGCTAGCAAGCAAGTCACCATCATTATCTAAGAAGCTGAATAGATGAGACTTCAAAGAGAAACAATTCTGCTAAGACCTCATAGTTTGCCCTGTTTCTTGGTTGATTCCATTGTTTCTGCAGCTTGCTCACTGCCTGTTGGTTTTATTTTTGAAGACTAGCTACACGAAGCACTCACACAACCCATAAAAGTAACAATAGGAACTGATCAAAGAGCAGAGAGAGGATTTCCCTGTCTGGTCACAAATAAGGGAAAATTTTATTGTAGTTTTTGGCTTTGGTAAGTGAAAATAATTGGGTTAAGTTGTGTATGTCTGCTGTCATTATAGTTTGGGATATTTCATTCAAAAACGATATATTTTATCTAGGAAGCTAGATGATGCTGAACAGTTCAACAAGCACAAAGCAAGTCCACCATGGCCTAAAATGGAAACCTGTGGGTATAGCAGCAACAAGGAGGGTAATTTTTCCACAGATCACTATCAACACTATTAAAGAAATACCGGTATACAACAAAAAAAGATAGGCAACTTTGTACTATCCAGCATTTAAGAGAAAAAGCCGTCAAAAGGATCCTTATTATGAAGGCTTTCTCTCAACTGCAAGTCAAAATACACATTTATCTAGATGCTTTTAGGAAGAAAAATATATGCCAATTATATCCTGTGTTGAAACTGGATTTATTTGTTTAGGAGTGGCACATTTTTTCCGACATTTATTTTCTTTAAAATCTCAATATCACTCCAAAATGTTAAAGGTAGAATTCTTATAATAAAATTATATCCTAAGCTATTGATTTTTATATCCTAAAGTTTAATATATTGGGTATTCAGTGGTGTATGATTGGATTACCTTAAGAGTTAAAATCTTATTTAATACAATACTTTATGAAGAAATAATATAGAATGAAAGTTGTTTCTAGCTAGAGGTACATCACCGTAGCGGCTGAACCACAGGATGATAGTTTATTTATGACAAGGCCACCAATATTTTTCTTTTTTCCATTTTATATATATATTATATACACGATTGTTATTTATTTTTATTTTCTTCACCCTCTTTTTATTCTGTCTACCTGAAAATGGTATCTCTCTTCTTGCATAGTTTTCTGCCCCTCTTCCTTATAAGGGAGCACACAAGTTAATTTCTTATTCCTTTTAGTAGAATGCAAGTAATCTACCATTTCATCACAACCTTTCTTAAAGCATCACATCTGCTTAACTGGGTACGCTTTGAGTGATCACAGCAACAATAAATACCCCGTTTACAGGAAACACCATCTTTTCTTAGGGAAGAAAAATAGTTAAGACTGTGAACATTCAGGAAATTTCAGTTGTCTCTGTGCAATAAATATGTCAACCTTTAAAGCAAGTGGAAGGAGAAAGTCATTTGAACCTTCCTTTCGTAAAAGGATCCTTATCTGTGTTGTGTCCTGCCTGCTTCTCTGCATGCATCAATGGATGCTTTACGTCAAAGGTATTTAGGTGGCTTCCAAGGTGCAATTATCCAGAATTCTTTAAAGCAGGTCCAGAGCAGTGGTGAAATCCGAACTGGTTTGCTACCAGTTTGCTGGCCGCGCATGCGCGCTGCGTGCCAAATGTGCGCTGTGTGTGCATGCAGTGTGCATCAAACACGTGCTGTGCATGTGTGCACACGTGTACAAACTGTAGCACGCGCCAAAAGGAGGCTTGGGAAGGTAAGTAGAAGCGAGGGGGAGGGGAGTCAGCTGTGGTGTGCAATTTAACTTTGCTAGAAAGCAGGATTTCTTGCTTTCTAGCAAAGCTAAACTCCGCTGCACAGCTGATTCCCCCCCCAATGTTCTACTTACCTTCCCAAGCCTCCTTTTGGCGCGTGCTACAGGAAATCCTGCTTTCTAGCAAAGTTATACCTCACGCCACAGCTGATCATCAGAAATACCGGTTCAGAAGAACCGGTAGCTTTTTTAACTACCGAGTCGGCTGAACTGGTAGCTTTTTTTGTACTACTGGTTCACCCGAACCGGAGCGAACCAGTAGCATTTCACCCCTGGTCCAGAGGATAGTAATTTATGACTATAACCTTTTTGCTTTTTTTTTACTACTTCCATCTTTTCCTCCCACTTTCTCCCAGTTGGAGCCTGGGTTCCTCCCTCTAACACAGTGGTGTCAAACTCGCAGCGTCACATTGTTGTCACGTGACTATCATGACTTCCCCCCCTTTGCTAAACCGGGGTGGGCGTGGCCAGTGTGTGATACATCTGGGCTGTGGGCCATGAGTTTGACACCCCTGCCTACTCTAACAGGTTGTCCTCCATTTACAACAGTTTATTTAATGACCGTTACAACAGCACTGAAAAAAAGTGACTAGTGACCACTTTTCAAACTTATGACCGTTTCAGCGTCCCCATGGTCACGTGATCGAAATTCAGATACTTGGCAACTGACTCATATTTATGACAGTTGCAGTTGCATGTCATCATCTTTTGAGAACTTCTGACAAGCGAAGTCAATGAGAAAGCCAGATTCATTTAACAACTGTGTTAATAACTTAACAACCGAAATGATTCACTTAACAACTGCAGCAAGAAAGGTTGTAAAATGGTACAAAATTAATTTAACAACATAAATTTTGGGCTCAATTGCTTAGTAACATAAATTTTGGGCTCAATTGTGGTCATAAGTCTAGGACTACCTGTAGTTGTAGCTAACAGAGCTTT